ACTCTTGGCTCTACGAGGTTTGGACAATAGAATCTGTTTTCACCAACAACTGGAAAATAGAACTGACATTACTTTCAAGGCTTGGATCCCTAAACCTTTTCCTTATTTTTCTTTTTGTTACAATATGAGTGCTGACAGGGGCACTTGACACCATTAGTGGTAAATGAATTTTTCAACAAGGACTAACACAGAAAAGCTATGGAAATTCAGATTTATTTTTTGACCCAGAGAGCTCCATATCTCCTCATGCCCTTGCTCTCCATGTATACTTTATGAGAAACTTCAGCAAAGGTGCCTCTCCAAATTAATCCCATAGCTGCCTCCTTCAATCCTCCCCCTTAGAACCCTTCACCTGTCTTCATGGGGTCCTGGCCACTTCTGGAGAGCCTCTTCCTGGATAATTAAAGGCAGTACAATGAATTCAAATCTTATCCTAGGGCTTATCTTTGTAAACTTAGCAACACTCCTTTCTTTTCTCATATGAAATTTTTTAAAAAAGCAATCGCAAATGTGAATTGGATTCTGTCCCATTTCTTCCCCAAACTGAGACGAAGCGGGTCATATACTTGCACATTTGTATAATAAATATTCAAAAGCTCTAATCCAGTATCTTTCATATAGCACTCATTTTAACTCCTTCTTTAAACATTCAGAATGCTTTAAATGGCATTCTATGCACTACTTTAAAATGTCTGTCAGCCTGATATTTCTACTTTCCTCCTTTATTAATTTATTTTCAAGGTCATGTATAGAAATACAATACAGTAAAAAGAACTCATTTGCTTTGACAAAAATGTATGCTATAAACCTTTATTTCTACAAAGGCCTAAAAAAAAACCAAGCATCACACAAAAACTAAACTGAGGAAAGGAAAGGAGAGGATGCTTCATGTTGGAGCTACCTTCTTTAATACATCTTTGAAATTTAAAGTGTTGCAGGTACACTAAAACATTTGTTTAATTTTATTTAATGTCCTTAAACTTACCTGATTATAGAACTCTCTTCATGGTCGCATTAAACATCTTGTAACATACAGTTGTGACACAGTCAGGGACCACCATAGCTATAGAGAACATGTAGAATCCTGGGCTCTTACTTGTTACTCATTGAAATAGTGACTTGTATTTTCTTCTGGGTCATTCAGGGACTGGAAAGCCATTTTTCCTATGAACTATGACTCTTCACTTGCACCTACAGATGACCAATAGGTAGCTAAGAACAGAACAAAGCTTGACTTTCATTTGTATCCTTTTTCGCTGTAAATCTTGAGGTCTCTTCTCAGCTCCGCATGGGTGTATGTTGATTACTTAGAGAACATCTGCTTAGGAGCTGGCTGGATAAGGTTGATTGGCCTTGAGTTCATGTGATCTCATTTCCCTTCAAGACCGAGGACATCAACATAAGTGGTTTACTGGGACATTCAGCTGCACCAAAGTTCTCTGGCCATTGGCCTAAACCTGTGATCACCTGGATCCCCGGAAAGCTGAAGCCCCACATGGCTGAGACTAACATGGACAGAGACAGTCCTTCCCTGGGAATGAAACCATCCCTTAGCCATAAAGATTCTAGAACTATGATAGCAGTACCGAGACAAGGGTCAACCAGACCTCAACCAGACTTCAGCCCACCAGTTGATCCTAAAAGCTGGCCTCCCATGTTCTCAGGTAGGCCAATCTGAACTCCTCCATGACTGTACCTTCTCCAGCTACCTAAGCTGGAGTCCTCTCCTATTTTCCCTTTAACTTTTCAATTAAAGCTTTTTCTGTAAACTTGTGCCTTAGTTTTAATTCCCATTTCTACTAAAGCAAGGGCCCATGTTAGCCAGCAAGCAAGAATACTACAAAACCATGGTTCCATATTACACAACTTGGAAATTGTGCCAGAAAATGCTACTCTTCATTTCTCAAAATGTATTATTCCAATGAATTTATGCATTGGAAAATAACCTTGACGTGGAAATGTAATTCAGTGCTTTCTCACATCACGTTACAGGAATGATGGTTGATTTTATGTGTCAATCTGAATAGGTTAAGGAGACACCCAGACAGCTGGTAAAACATTATTTCTAGGTGCATCTGTTAGAATGTTTCTGGAAGAGTTTAACATTTGAATCAGTAGGCTGAGCAGAGAAGACTGTTCTCACCAGTGTGGGTGGGCATCATTAAACCACTGAAGGGTGGAATAGGACAAAAAGGCAAAGGAAGAACAAATGTACTCCGTTTCCTGGAACTGGGACATCTATCTTCTAACCTTGGATATGAGAGCTTGAGTGTCTCAAGCCTTCAGATTCTAGGACTTTAGGGCTGGAGATTTAGCTCAGTGGTTCCAGCGCCTGCCTTGCAAGTGCAAGGTCCTGAGTTCCATCCCCAGTACCAAAAACAAACAAACAAAAAAAAACAGATTCTAGGACTTTAATCAGTGATCACACCAGTTCTTAAGCATTAGGACTCAGAATTACACCACTGGCTCTCATAGTTCTCCAGCTCACAGAAAGCAGGTTGGACTTTCTTGGCTCCATAATTTCAAGAGTCTATTCTCATAATAAATCCATATCCATATCCATATATATATTTTTCCTGTTGGTTCTGTTTCCCTGGAGAGCCTTGACTAACACACAGGGATTTTATAGTTTATCTCCCAAATCCTAGGTCAATCTCCAAGAGTCTACTGTGATCTTACGTAAGAAATGTAAAACATGCTTGTAATATCATGCTGTTAAATTCTCCTGAATAGTTTTCACCACACATGCTGTGAATATATCACCAGTTATAATGGAAAACACACACAGTTACATCTCCAATATTCACCTATCACTCAACTTTCCTGCAAACTTTATTCGTCATATCTAAGTTAATTCCTATCTATGTACTTCTGATCCAAAATACAAACTAAAATTTGAATTTATTATTGCTCTCACTTACAAAAAAGTTTCCGAATCACTTCTCTTTTTTTGTAGTTTAGTATCATAATTATAGGTGTCACGTGAGAGTGCTGGGTAAAAGCCCTCTCTCCTCTTAGTGGCTCACCTCCTCATTAGCAGAAGGGAGTGTGAACTCAGTATACCCATGACCATTCATCCAAAGAGATCTTGTCTGTAAGTCCTCAGCTTGGTGCACAGTGTCTCTGAGGCATTCTTTATTAGTTGTGTCCTACCATATTTTTTAAACAACTGTTTTGGATTCCTAGCTATGGGTCATCCCTAGAATCTCTGACAATTTACTCTTTCTATTCTTCTGGATCCCAACTTTTTTATCCTCAGAATCTCCCTTTACAAATAAATATATGAAAACATATTCAACATACTGGACATTCAAGAAATGCAGATGAAAACAATGCTGAGATTCCACCTCACCCCAGAAAGAATGACTGCTATCAAGAAATCAACCAATAGCAAATGCTGGCAGGGCTGTGGGGAAAGAGGAACCCTGCTCCACTGCTGGTGGGAGTGTAGACCGGTACAACCACTATGGAAATCAGTATGGAGATACCACAAAGAACTAGGACTGGAAGTCCCATTTGACCCAGCTATTTCCCTGCTGGGTATCTTCCCCAAAGAAATAAAAGAAACATACCGCAGTGATATATGTGCGCCCATGTTTATAGCAGCACAGTTTGTAATAGTTAAAACTTGGAAACAGCCCAACTGCCCTTCAACTGGAGACTGGATAAAGAAGATGTGGTTTTTCTATAAAATGGAGTACTACTCAGCCATAAAGAATGAGAAACTAGAGTCATTCATAGCTAAGTGGATGCATATTGAGGCTATACTCTTAAGTGAAATCAATAGGACACACATGTGTAAATACCAAATAGTTTTTCTGGTGTGAAAAACTAAAGTGTAAATAAGGATCAAAATGTATAATTGATATTGTGTAATAGGAAGAAAAGATCTAAAGGTGTGGGGGAAGTGGGAGGGGTAGGGGAAAGGAAAGAAGGGAAAAGGAAAAATATGGGAACAAAGTCTTTGTAAATAAGGAAGGGTGGAGGGGGTGAAGGGAGGGCAGGGGAATGGGGAAAAAATAAGAAACAAGAAATGTCGTGTAAAGGTACAAGATCCCAATGATGAATGCAACTGTATTGTATACCTAAAATGTACCAATAAGCTTAATGGGAAAAAAAAACAATCTCCCTTTACACTTTGGCACTGGCAAATCTTCTCTAGAAATGTTAAAATATGTCAGATGGTGACTGAAATGCACAGTGTGTATTTGCCCACAGTTATCCATTCCATCTGACTCAAATTCCACAGCTCTTCTAACACAGAGACCTCCTCCAACAATTCACAGCTGTTTACCTCTCCTAACATGAGCACTCTTTATGTATTTTCCTGGTCCCTCTTTACTGTAGCCTTCTCTCCTCTTTTCTTTATTCACATTGCTACCAAATTCCCTGGGGCTGGGGAGAACACCTCATGATGACCCTGATTCATGCTTCCTAATACTAAGGTCTGGAACTCTAATTTCCTTTTGATGAATTTACATACATGTGCACAAATTCTTTGTATCACATTGTATTTACTAATATACATATATATATATATATATATATATATATATATATATATTCCTTTTCCTCCCAGATATTTCTTTCACTTAAACATGGGCTCTTCAAGGAGAGTAAATATATGAGGTTTTTTTTTTTAAAAAAAAAATCTTACCTACAGTGGAAGTATAAACAATTTGGGGGGGGGGGTACCAGGGATCAAACTCAGGACCTTACACTTGAGAGGCAGGCAGCAGAACCACTGAACTAAATCTAAATCCCTGGCCCCTAAGTAGAAACAATTTTTGATCAATCCCACAATAAGAAATACTTCCATTTATTTTTTTAACTCACCTTGGGACTTTTTTGGGGGGGTACTGGGGATTAAACTCAGGACCTTGTGCTTGCGAGGCAGGTGCAGTACCACTGAGCTAAATCCCTGGTCCCACTACTTCCATTTCTAATAATTATATTTATTTTAACTGGGATAAATCACACATAAGACACAAAATGTTGGTTATGGTGCATTTATTTGTTGGCTGTTTTACATATTTACAGGATGTTGTTTACTTGCAATGACTTATGACTAAATATTCAAGGCTTGTTGCCTGTAATCTTTCCATTCACCTCAGGCTTAGGTAACAACTTTCTGGCTATAGACTTCATTAGATTTTGAATGCTGAGTTACTCATCAAAGTCTCTAGGACTTCTCTGTCCTTAAACATAATATGAAGGACAATCCCACAATAACTTGGATAGTGATAGAGATCTGGTTACCTTGGAGAATCCTGTTTCATGGTGTTACTTATTGGCAATAGTCCCAGGCCCCACCAGCTCCTGGTGAAAGAGATCAATGTCTTCCTGCAGCTCCTCTGGGAAGGACTCTCCTAGGTCACATGTCATGGTCCGCCATTCTGCCAGACAAGCCCAAAGGAATCCTTTCAGCTTTCATGCCAAGCAGCCTTTCCAAGCACTGTGCCATCTGCAAATAGGATGCAAACCTCTCACATAACAGACACACACCCTTGAGAGTGGTCACAGATTTGCCAAACTCTCAGCCTACTAGATATGGCTCCATCCTTTTCTCTTCCACTCAAGAGAACACATTGGAATACTCCAAATAAGAGTAGATCAATGGTAAACTTGTCATTTATTTAAGAAAAAACTCAGAAATTTGGAAATTTTATTAGTAAAATATTACTTAGGAATCCAAATAACACTCAGTGGAGAGCCAACATGCCTTTGCCAAAATCAATGCCTGGTCATTGTGAATTGTTGTCCTCTTAAGGGAACTGGTTTCCGTGGTAAAACAGACACCATGCTAGGTGTCTTCTCAGTTCCTCACCACACCACCTGATTAGTTAGGGCAGCATTTTTCAGGAACAAAGTCTGTAGTAGTTTCCATAACTCCTTCCAAAGCTATATGTGGAGGTCAGACTTTCTTGAAGCCTTGGTTCACTGGACAACTTTCCAAAGTCCTCAGAGGAAGAGAATTCATGTAAGCCCATATGACTCCATTAAAACTACTGCTCCTGCATTGATTTTCACACTCCCTAACTCTTAAGTTGTTATGCACAGACTATTTCTTTCTCCTTTCTTGTTCTTCCCTTTAATTCCACAAAATATAAGAATGGTCTTTTATCTGAGACCTTGCAACAGCCTTGGGATTACTACTATTTCTCAGACAAGTAATGTAAGCCATCTTCCAAAGTGGTCTCAGGTTAGACATTTAATTTTGTTGTTCTATACATTTACTATTGAAATACCTCAGCCTATTTGTAAAATAGGACTTACTTGCTCTGAAACCTGTCTCTAAAGTAATTTTGTGTAGTGTTGGTAGAGAAGAGCTAATTTTGAACATATTGCATTGCTTGAAAATATATGAGCCTGCCCAGAGAGGAGATTCATGGGAATGAGGGCTCCTGCCTGAGGCCCCCCATTCCATCTGTGAGTGCATGCAGATCCCAGGGAGCAGCTGTGTGGCCCAGACCAGTGCAGCTTCAGGAGGATCCCAACTGGGGGTCCACCCTCAGAGGCTCAGGCACACCCACCCAAGCCAAAGGGCTGCCCAGAAAGGGGCTGCACAGCCACAAGGGCTTCAGCCAGAGGCTCGCCATACCATTGGCCACAGCCAGGGACATGCCTAGAGAAGACCTGTACAGGCACACAAGCAGTACCCAGAGGCTCACCCCGATACCATTGATAAGTGCGAGGAGACCCTAGCCAAAGCCTGTGCAGATAACAAAAACTGGGGTGCACAGCCCCCAAGCAAAGGCCCTCCCAGACAATAAATAGCTACATAGGGGCCCCAGCAAGAGGCATGCTTAGATACCATCCCAAGTGTGCTCAGGCCCCAGTCAGAAGCCTGCCAAGACAACAGGTCAACTCAGGGATCTAGAAGGCCATCACTCTGAACCCAGGAATTGGCGTACTGGTGAGTAGCAGAGTAAAGGCTGCTCAGTGGCTTGCTGAGAATTCAAGACCACCAGGTGAGCAAAAAAGTCACTTTAACGAAGACACAGCAGGGTGTATCTGTTGAAATGAGAAGACACATAAATAAGTCCCAAAACCACACTTCCAGATCACCTAAGGGAACACAAAGGGCACCTAGATGGAACAATCTGACACTCTACCACCTGGACTCCCTGAACTGGCAATGAAAGGGGACCTGGAAAAAAATGAAATCAGAAATAATT